GAGATAGGAGAACAGAAGTTGTCCAAATGTAATGTACACAAGCATGAGATGAGGTGCTTGCTGAAGCTGTAGGTGTCCCTGCTCTGAGGTCTGCAGGCCTGGGGGGAGGCCTGTAGGTTTAATACACCCCTCCCCCTGCTCCCCCAATGGTCCAGGGAGCATCTACTGAGAACCATTGAACAAGGTGATCTTGATGGCTTTCTCCAGCTCTATTTTAAAAAGATACATAAGGCATGACAGGCATGTGCTTGTAAGTCACATTCTTTCAAAAGATGTTTATTTTTCCTAGCGTGTGTTCAGTGCGGCGACAAGTACAGATAATGAGCACGTGCCACATAATTTATGGGAAAGGTGTGCTTTCAGATTCTGTGCAAGGAGAGAACAGTTAACGGGATGTCCGTGCTTTAGTGGGATGCCCGTGTCGTTCGGCCTAAAGGCCTTCTCCCAGGCATTTTGACCGTCCAGAGGTTTCCGTACTTATCATGTGTTCACTTTATAATAACGTGAGAGTGGAGCCCAATTGTGACACTTTCCCCCCCAAACACGAGGCCGTCAAGCTCCAGGTACATAATTTGTCTGTTCCTTCATAAATTTGAACTTGTAAATATTTTATGCATATTTACAAGTTGTAAAAGGTTTATTAAAAAGTCACCTTTAATTGAAATGCTGCTCTTTACCACTAGACTTTTTCTCTTAAAAAGAAAAAAAGGCCTATCCTCATAATTAAAGCCAGAAATGAAACCCCGCCTCAAAACACCTCTTCTTCTTCTTTGTCCTTTGGTCATTCCACTAAATGGCATTGATAGAATACCTGATCTCAGGATTAAAAGCGGGGGGTTGGACACCATTTCACTGCTAAAATGACGTGTGTGTGTATGAAGGGAGGTAAGGAGACAGTTGTTGCAAGGCAGGTATGAGATTATATTTATTTTACAATTGTATGCCTCAGTCATGATACAAAGTTCATCTCCCATTGAGGAGTAAATATAGGTTATTTAAGCACCTTTAAACAATTCCGAGTCAAAAAAACCACAAACATTCTGCATTCCATGCATTCTCTGAGCTTTCTGCACAGAACAGTCACCAAGTCCTTCTGGAACATTCTCACTCAAAAGCTTTCCAAAGCTGCAGGAAATGGACCTGGCCTTACACTGAGTCCCAAGGCAAACCTAGAGCTTGGAAGAAATCTACTTTATTAGATTCCAAATTAAATTTCTGTGACAGTAGTTGGAGGAAGCAGACCAATATCCAGTGGGCTTCAAGCTGTATCTGATCAAACAGAGGTCTCCCCATTTGGGCACGGATGGGATATTTGTTAGGTGTTCTTTCTACCGGAAACAGTAGTCTGAAACTCAAGGGGATGCATTTTTTTTCGTGAATGAGATCGGTTCTTTTAAGCAACCATTTAAAAAGAATTTAAATGCTTCAGGCATCTTTGTACTCCTTCCATCTGGAAGTCCTGGGAATGGCAGACTCCAGAGGGGAGGTAGGAAGGCAAGGACATTGGGTAGAGATGATGTCATCGCTGATGATGTCATCACCACAGCCAGAGGTGTAAGCCACCGATTGCTCAGACCTAGGGTCTATGGAACTGTTACTAGTCATTCTCAAAAACACCCTCACCAAGTTGATCCAAGAGTTTCGTTCGTTTGTTTGTTTGGTTGGTTGGTTTTAAATCTACAGGGTGCTTCTAACTGTTTGACTTTGGGGAGGCCAATTAGAGAGGGACTTCCTCTGTTACACAGGTAGATACACTTGCTCTTCAACTTGCCCCACACATTTAATTCAATCTTAAGATATTTGTACTGAAACTAGTTACATATTTAATCTGGGTCCTTGGTCCCTCTTCCGTGCGTGACATCATGTGCCCCCTGGTCATTTCATGGCCCATTTTCTGCAGTCCATTGAATGAGTTGATTTAGAATGAAAGTCACAGAGTCATTTTTAGAATGGTCATGAATGTGCCTAAAATCTCCAAGTGCTGCCAGGGACTCTTATCGTTGATACTGGTAATGAGGGCCGGAGGGTCATTTCCTGTTTAAAGTCTGCCCTGTTGTATAGCTTTGAGCCCATGGAAGAAATAACCGCCCGTTTTATGTCCTGCAGTCAAAGCTTAGTCCACATCTCCTGAAATCTTTTGCGTCTGTTATTGCTCGACATGAAATTATTTTTTAAAAAGTGAATTTTATTTAATGCAAGATCCTGTTTTCATAGAGATGAGGTGCAGGATGCTTCTACACCAAAGCAGCAAAGTAACAAAATTGGAGCTGAAATGAGGAAAAACTGAATTAACTTCAGATTTACATGAACTGAAATGCGGGCCATTTTATGCGCATCCTGGTTACTTAAGGCGTCACCGTGTTCTCATAAATATGGGACGTAAGCACCAGGGAGTTGGGAAATCTTTGCGAAGATTTCAGGCTGCGGACAAAAGTGTGCTGGTTACTTAGATTTGGCTTCAGAGGGCTGCCAGGCATGGACTCGCCCCCGAAGCTTTCAGAGGGATGGAGGGTGGCAGTGTCTGGGTTGCTTTTACTCATTTCCATGCTCCTGGTTGCACGTGCACTGCCGGAAGGTGTTCGAGCAGACCTGTCTTTCATCATGTGGAGCAGTGCTGCCCACTAGAGCTTTCTGCACTGTTCAGTATGGTTGCCACTGGCCACACGTTTCTCTGGGTCACTTGAAATGTGGCTTTAGTGTGTCTGAGGAATGATGTCATTTAAACAGTCACATGCAGCTATTGGCCGTCATATTAGACAGCAGAGGTATAGAGTTTGGGCTGAAGTCACGACTCCATTTGGTCACTGGAGATGCAGCCCGCAGGGAAGATGGCAACACTGTCCTCCTAGTGGGAGAACCAAAGCCCACAGCCTGTATTTGGGGGAGAATTTACGGACTTGAACTCGGCCTCTCCAGGAGAAGTTAGCCCTCAGATCCTTGCACAAATGGTTGGCTTTAGGAATTCCGGGAGCAGGTGGAAAGGAGGACTCAGGTAAGATGAAGAGAACAGTTGACTGCAGTGTTCAACTGCAACCAGGTACGCAGCACAACAAAATCAAACCAGCGAAAACAAAGTCAAAGTCACTTAAAGAGCCTCGCAGATACTGGTTGAAAGTACAGACTGGAGTCTTGCCTTCCGCGTGGGCAGTGGTCATGGTGCCTCCTAGAGCTGCACACCCACGGGGACAGGGAACAAGCTTTGCTTCAAGTCCCCAGGGAGTTGCCAGGCTTAGATTTAGTGCTCTGGATGAGGGTGAGTGGCAGGTGTGGGCATGTGGGGAGTGGGACGTCCTTGTGGGAGAGATCTCATTCTCCATCAAGTCAGCTTGTTGTTGGCTGCAGCCCCGGCAACGTGCAGATACGCAACAAACGCTGCTTTCCACTGAGGAGGAGAATGAAAATTCAACCCCCTTTAACAACTGTGCTGGGGCAGCCTGGTGGCTCAGTTAGTTAGAGTGCGTGCTCTGAACAGCAAGGTTGCTGGTTCGATTCCTGCAGGGGATGGTGGGCTGCGCCCCTAGCAATGAGATTGAAAGCGGCAACAGGACTTGGAGATTTTTGAGCCTATTGGGTGGGAGCTGAGTCTTACGGTGTACTTGGTACAACACCGACTGTACTTCTTATTCTCAGCAAAATGTAAAACAACGATCTGCAGTTCCATGGATACCAGAAATGTTTCCAAGTTTATCTGGAGACAAGGGCGTGTTTTGAACAGCCCCCCATGAGGTCCTCAAGGCCAAAAAGCCCAGTGCCTCGTCCAGGCCCGGCGTTGGCTTCGCGCCATCGCTGGAGGAAAAGGAGAGCCTGTGCTTGAATTCTCCCAGATGAAAATATTAAAACATGAAACGGAAAACGATCGCCAAGCCGACAAAAGCTGCCTTGATCGTAAGCCAGGAGCCCTCTGTGTTTTCTTTACATTTCCAATTTGATTCAAAAAAGAAACGGACTCCTCACAGGAGGTTTGCTGTCCTAGAGAGGCATGCGGCTGCCCGTGCCAGGCAGTGGGGTCCCCAGGCGTGAGTTCGTGCAGCGCAGCCTGTCGCGTCTTGTTTCCCAAGGTGTTCCCAACACCTGGATTAGGCTTGGGCTGCAAGGGCTGTCACCTTTGAACTTGGGAACTACTGATACCCAGAATTCATTTGTCTAAACCTGAAAGACAGAGGGAATCCCTCACGAGGGTGTATGTGGTCAAGTGCAGTGAATTAGTCTACTTACTAAGAAATTCTTTTGCCAGCTAGACATCAAAAGAAACTCTCAGAGCTGCTCGAAGTCCACAAGCTCCTATCTTCCCTCAGGGTGCCCACTGTGTGTGCCTGTTGAATGAATGTGTGCTCCTGCAGTTTTCTGGACAATTCCACCCATCCTGCCAGGCCCATTTCAAATGCAGCTTTGAACCTCAAAAATGACTTTGTACCCACCTGATTGTGAAGGGTGACACATCTGCGGGACTTGGTCTGTATTGCAAAGGGCCAGCTTTCTCGAGTATCTGAGATCCATTTCGGTTCTACTCTCCTTGAATTGTGTTTTGTTTGGCCTTTATTTTCTGTTCTGGTCTGTGCTTTCATGTTTGTGTTATATTTTAAATGTGCATTTGAGTTCAAGGTGCTTCAGAATCCTCTCTGATTGAAATAACAGTAAAAAGATTTATATCTGGAGAGAGTGAGGAATATAAGTTGCTGCCACCTCATCTAGGACAGTACAAGTTTATGCTCACAGGGTAAGTACCTCTCTAACCCTGGAGCATTCTAGACTTTGCATGAGAAACACCAGCAGGGCTGGTTGTGTTTCACATGGGACGTTAAGTGTTGTTGCTGAGTTCATCAGCTGACCCTTTCCTGGCACGGCCCTGTCTGTCCTGCCCGCAGGTTGCTTCTTCCACAGCAGACCACCTGGCTGCCTCCCCACGGCTGTCTGCTGCTGGGTGCTCAGACCTGCTCTCCTTCAAAATACCCCAGAAAACAAAGAAGCATCTCCAAGGCCCTCCATTTCGAGAAGCAGCATAAGAGTTCAACAATTGTTTATTAGCCTTTGTGGCTGACATTTCTCATGTCACTTATATAGCAAGAAATCTATTTTAATATCTTTTTGCAGTCTGGTTAGCAAATGTTTCAGTGATCCATTGTTGAATAAGAAACCACCTCAGAACTTAGCAGCTCGTTTGTTACTCTCTGTCCTGGTTCTCAGAGGTCACGGTGCTCACTAGGGGGCTCTCATGGAATTGCAGTCAGATGGTGTTTGGCTTGGACTCATGTCACTGCTCACCTGGGCTGTGTGTCCAGGATTCCAGGATGGCTTCTCCACATGAGTGTCTGGTGCTTCCACAGGGATGGCTGGGCCGGCTGAGGGCTGACTGGCTGGCACCTGTCTCTCTCCAGCTGTCTCCCCATGTGACTAGCGTGCACATCCTGGTAAGAAGGCCTGTCGGGGACATTTGGGCTTCTCCACAGCAAGCATTCCAAGAGGCTCAGGTGGCAGCTGCAAGGCTTCTTCGAAATAAAGTCTCAGAAGCCACCAGAGCTCCGCTTCTACTGCATCCAAGGGGAGAGGACTGCCCAGGGGTGAACACGGGAGGTTTAGCTCTGTGTGGGAACGGTAGAATGGTGGTGATTAGCTACGACCGCCAGAAAACCAACTATCTACATCTCTACATTCTATAATGTTTCGTACCAGGTTAAAACTCTTCTAATTGGACCGCTACTCACACAGCATTTGAAGCCTCTCCCCGTGACCTCCTTTCCTGTTTGCATAGCTTGTTAGAAGTGCACGGGAAGGAACCCAAAAGTTGGGTAAGTGAGCCTTGAGCTGCCGACAGAGGCTTCAATTACCAGCTGCCGGGGAGTGTCCAGTGTCTCCTGGAGAGGCGAGTCTTCCCTCCTGTTTGTCTCTTAAAAACACCGCAGTGTTCAGAGCGCAGCTCTCGGAAGTGGCTCCTTCCCGCTTTCGAGCCCGCACAGGAGGCGGCGGGAGAAGGTCCCGCTGGAGGGAGGAAAGCCGGTGAGTTCCCGTGTGACCTTGGCAGTGTGTGTGATCTTGGGCAGGTGATCACATACGCACAGCCGTGGTTTCCTGTCTCTCTGAATATATCAGTCAGTAACTGAGCTCATTGTATGAATTTCCCCACCCTTCCTCATCCTTCTCTTGGCACTTGGCCTCCTTTCAAAATCTGCCTCTCCAGCCCTCCAGCAGGATGTTTTAAGGAGGCAGAGTTTGGCCTTCCTCACAGTCCCCCACGAGGGACAGGTCCCCCAACAGGAATGGATAAGGGCATGTTATGTAAAATCTGGGGGGCAGGCACTCCCTTTCAGGTCAGCGTTCCGCTGCAAGCTAAATGGGCTAATCAACAGCAGCAGCATTTTCTGTGTTCATTCCAGAACTTTCCCAGGGGCACAATACAGCCTGCCTGTTTACAGGACCATGGTTACCTAACAAGCGAGTCTCCCAAGCCTCGGGGGTCTTCAGGTTCATTAAATCGAACCCCTCCAGCTGAGTTGGTGAGACGCGTTGCTGTCTATGCGCATTGCCCTTGGTAATGTAAGATAATTTCCCATCCTTAAGAAAAAATAGCTTTTACACGCAAGACGCACATGAAATTTATTAGACAACTATTCTAACGTTTTATGTCTCTCATTAACCTTCCACCTGTGTTTCTGTCCTGTCTCTACCCTGCCCGGTGGTGTTTCCAGTTGGCTGACTTATTTCATTTACACATTGATTCATTCATTGGTTCATTCATTCAACAGGTGTAATTTTGCAGGCCTGCTCTAGGCTAGCGTATAAATATATTATATAGGAAAGATAGAAGGACATTGTCCTGCTTTCATGATGCTGGAGCCTTATAATTAAAAATTAACGTTTTAAAAAGGATGCTCGGGCCTCGTGAGGAGCACACACGTCATTAGGGCCACGCGGTGAGCTTTTTAATCATGTGATGTCTCTGTGGTGCTCGTCTGATGTGACAGTGAAGGCATCATCAGTGCATGTCATGGGCGGTGTCCGGGGGACGTGGAGTTGAACCTGATTACGGCGTGAAAGATGACCTGCTCCTTCCACAAGCTTGACCTCGGAGCACAAGCCCAGGTCACAGGAGTGTGTTTATAGGGTAAATTCTCTGTGGTCTGGAGTTTGCTGAGAATACGCGTACATGTTTCCTAACTTTTCACAAACATGGCCACGTTCCCCAGAAACGTTTCATCTTGCACATACTCCCCTCAGCAGTGTCTCAGTGGGTTACCCCAGGCCCTCCCCGGAGTTTTGCCTTGTGGCGGGTAAAATAAACAGTATCTCATGGTTTATTTGATTTTACCTCTTGAAGTGTGTGTGCTCTTGAGCATCATTTTTTTATGATTTCTGTCTTGTTTTTGAGATTTGTATTTCTCTTCCTGGGAATTTTCTGTACGCATTCCCCATCATTCTGTTGGTTTATTTATTTTTCACTTGTTTGTATGAGCCGTTTCAGAATTAAGGAAGTTAGCCCTTTGTGCCTGGGTTACAAATGCTTTCCCTGCTGGTTGTTTGATTCTGAGTATTACGTTCTGATAGACAGAGACCATCTCTCTTGGCCTTGACATTCGCGTGCTCACTCATCACCCACGCTTTCCCTCACGGCTTCACTTTTACTGATTTGTCTGAAATTAATTTTAGCGTAAGATTGGGAGGAATCTGGCTTTATTTTTTTCCAGATAGCTATCCAGTTTCATGAAACACATTTATTGAGTAATCTCTTTCCTTGAAATGCTACCTTGATGGTAATATAATATACCTTTATCATGTACTTTTATACTAAATTGCATTCTCCGAAACATTTTTAATCCTTTGTTTTGATCCATTGTTTATTTCTTCTCCAATCCCAAACTGTTTTGATATTGAAGGTTCATAATCTGTTTTATCTGCAAGGGCTAGTTCTACTTACCACTTTTTATTTTCAGGTTTTTTTTCCTGTGATAAAAATCTTTCTTTCCAAAGTTTTGCAAAGTTTGTTAGCAGAAGCAAAATCTTTCTCTTATGTCCTCAGAACAAGTTTTTAAAGGGAATTTGGAAAATCTTAAGGTGGGGCTATTTTACTTAGAAGGCTCACGTTTTCAACAAACAGTGGGAACCTAGTATGTGCAGTGCCACACGTGGTTAGCCATTTCATTCTCTCGATTTATTTTTTCATCCCCTTTCTTCCTTTCTGTTATCGTTTATTGCACGTTGCTGTTGGCTGGGGGATTCACAGGAGAGCCGGTGTTCCCCGACTCAGTGACAGCAAGGCCAGCTTAGCTTGTCCTTGTGACTGAGCCACACGCACGGGGGCCAGTGTTAGAGCTCGTGGAGATTTTATACGAAGCCAGAACACCAAAAAAGGGAAAGCAGCCTCCTCAGCAACGGTTTCTGCATTTTATCCTAAGCCTTTCACAACCACTGAGCGGAATTATCAACCCTCGTAACTGACCAGCTCTTTTTAATGCCTGGAAAATTAAAGAGGGACTTAGGAGCTATTGCCCTAATCCTCTGCTAATTCTTCTTAAAAATGTCTTTAAAACAAATGTTTTACATACTGAGACCATTTTCGAGGGACTATACACACCCTAGGAGTCTGTGGAAAAGGAGTGGAAAACTGTATTTAAAATCCCCACGTGAGGGCAAGAGAAATACTTGCCCGTGACGTGACCAGACGTGGCCTGTGGGATGCCTTCTTCCAGGGCGCCTGCTTTGACATTGGGACAAACAGGTTTCCACTTTTACCCTTGTCGCCTTTTGTGATGGCTGTCAGATAGATAATTCTTTTTTTTTTCCAGTTGATTTCTTGCTCATAAATTGCCATTTGCGTTTACCGTTAAATGACTAAGTTCTAAATATTGGCCGTAGACAAGCCCGTCTGATGTCCAGGGAGTTCCAGTACCACCAGAAATTGCTCTTTCCATTTTGTACATTTGATGTATGTAGTACACCCTTTATCTTATTGGTTCTAAGTACACATCGTAAGCCCAGTTTAATGGATTTCGCAGGAAAATGTAGGGAACACAGGAGCACCGAGAAGCACGGCACCATTGCACATCTGTGTGACTAAAACAGGGACCGAGGGATGATGCGTCCAATCTCCGTTTGAGAGTTCCTGTTTTCCCGGGAGGCGCAGAGCTGCTGATGGAGGGTCTCTGCGCGTCCTTGTGCACTTGGGGCGTCCACTGGCTCCCAGGCTGTCTCCAGTCAGGTGGCCACTGGAAAAAGAGCTCGGAGGGTCTCTTCTCCTTACCCTGGTTCCTGACAACTCAGTTTCAACCGGAAGTCTTTTTTATTTTTATTAAATATACCTTGCCCCTTCAGTTAATTTGATGTTGTGAAGGTAAATTATGAGGTTGGATAATTAAGTTTGCAAACTCACCCTAGAAAAAGGGCTACATACCTGATAGCTGAATATCACACAGTCACCTTCGAATTACTCCCTTTGGGAAGCTAAGCACTGATGCCAGCACCTAGCCCACCCTTCAAAGCAATTTTGGAACTCTTTTTCTGGAATGGCCGTCAGAGCTGTCGTCGTATTACCCGTGATGTCCTGAATGTTGTCCAAATGTCTTCCTTTCAATATTTCCTTTATCTTCGGATAAAGAAAAAAGTCATTGGGGGCCAGATCAGGTGAGTAGGGAGGGTGTTCCAATACAGTTATTTGTTGACTGGCTAAAACTCCCTCACAGACAGTGCCGTGGGAGCTGCTGCATTGTCGTGATGCAAGAGCCATGAATTGTTGGCGAAAAGTTCAGCTTGTCTAACTTTTTCACGCAGCCTTTTCAGCACTTCCAAATAGTAAACTTGGTTCACTGTCCAGTTGGTACAAATTCATAATGAATTATCACTCTGATATCAGAAAAGGTTAGCAACATCGTTGCAACAATTTCACGCACTTAATGGGCAGACCACGTATGTTTTCCAATTGATCAAAAATGTTGGCATGCTTCCCAAACATTCCAGAATACTATTTTCTGATGTGACATTTGACTTACATAAACACAGCTCGTTGCTTTTCTTTTCCTGCATAAAATACACACTAAGGATGGCTTTTGTAATATAGTAAATAAGATCCCACACAAATTCCTCATGATATGCTGTGTGGGAAGTCCACATAATAAGATGAAGAATGCTGCCTGTTTGTTTTCCTACCAGTGTGGAGTTGTCATCTTACCCTGCCTCTGTCAAAGTCATGTTCAAACACAGCAATGACGTATTTAAACATACTAATTAAAAAGGGACACTTTTTCTTCATCAACAAAACACACCTGTTATTGCAGCTATCCTTTATATTCCACTAAGGATGAAGGCAAGCTCTAAATATAGTTAATGACTTAAGCTAATGCTAAATTTGTGAGGGAAAATGTGTTGAAATTTTGGTGGGTGTTGCCAGAAGGAACAGGAATATAGGGGAGCAGAACTTGGTGACATGGGCACAGTCATGGCAGACCAATGCACATTTTAAAGAGAAAATTGAACAGAATTAACACACTGCTGTTTTTGAAAAGGAGAAGGTGTCATATCACTGAAAGGAAAAGAAAAAAAATGCTTGAAGCTGTATTTACATCAACATAGGTCAACTCTGTTTGCTTTCTTCCAAGTGCCAATGGTGAAAGTACTCTTTTGAAACTGTTATTTGCAGATTTATTTCTGTCTCATTATCAGTCAAGGGCAGACCGTTTCTCTGCATAAATATCTTGTGTCCCCAGTTCCTAGCACAGTGCCTGGTGATTGCAATTGACCGGAACAAGACTGGATTCATGTTTCTCCCCACCCCTCTGCTTCCATTTCTTTAGCTTTTCTGTTTGTCTCTAATTCACACCCTCACTTCTTTTCTCCATTCCTTCCTCTTTGTCTAAGTTGTTTATCCTTTAGCTTTTGAGGCTCTCGAGGGCCAGTTGCATTTATTGTTTGGTGTTGGTGACGATGCCTGGCTCTGACCTTGCACGAGACATTCATTACTGGCCGTGTGTGTATCTTTTCCAACCCTCCTTGCTGCAAAGGCTCCTACATAGATTAGTATTCATTAGGGTATATGCGGGGGGTTTCAGATGTTCCTCATATTTATAAACGTTGACTCAGTCACT